TCAGAATAAACTATACGACTGCTTTCAAAAGTAGTGGAGACCTCATTCACCAGTATGGTCCCTTTGCTTACAAAGAGTCATATATATTCTTTTAATAAAAACTCAAAAGTTATCTTCTTAATCAAATATATAAAATAATTTTTTACAGCCAAATATATAGCGAATGAGGAAGAAAACAAATTATATACATATTTAAAAAGCTTTTGGAGTATTTTTTAAGTACTTCTTCAGAACAATCACTGGACATATATACGTTTTATGTTAAATGATCAAAACTATTAATCATAAATAATGAACCTTAAAACATGTATGTTGTCAAAGGGAAGTCAAAAATTTAATAATGAAACAAATGGCATCCCGGTAAAAATGTTACAGCATTACTCTTTTGTTTACATAAATTTTATTGTTTTAGCATAATCCAGTCCATGTGATCAGAGTGGCAATATCTTTCAGAATGAATTCTTTTGTCATTACATAGGTAAAAATATTGTTCTGCACAGTGGCATAGCTAGAAGGGGCAGTACACTCTGAGTGGCACATTTCTAGGGTGGGGGCAATTTTTGCATGAAATACCATTTTATAGTAAGTCATGGATTGTCAAGACCCATAAATTCATTGAAATTTTGAATTGCATACTAAATTAAATTGAGAGAAAAAAACTACTTGAGGTAAAGTATTCAAAGAAATCACGAGATTTCAACATGTCTTTTTATACCCCACAAGATTATAACTTATCCATGTTATACCTTTTTTATTCCATTGAAACTTTTGAATAAAAATTACAAACTAAATTATGATTTCTGTGACATTAATAAGAAAGAACGCCTTGTTAAAACAGATGTATTTCAAGAATTTTACTTCTGCTATTGTTAGGGGAAAAGAAAAAAGATGATGAGAGGACAGTCCTTTTGAATTCTTACAGTTTATTCTAAAATACAATCTCCAGAACATGTTTATTTTGCATTTAAGTAGTATTTATTACTTTTTAAATGCAAAATAATTACTAGTATTTAGAAGCAATTACTGCAAAACATTTACTAGTACTAAGAAGCAATTACTGCATTATAAAGTATTATAAATCTTTCTATGAAATATTATAAATGTTTATTTTGCATTTAAGAACATTTTCTATACTGTCTATGTTATAGCAATTGGAGCAATGAAGCTTAAACCTCTAGGATGTCATCGATAGTTTATCTAATAATAATAATACAATTTAAATATTGGAATTAAACTTTTCTTCAAAGTTCTAGCCATGCCACTGGTTCTGCATAACATTTCACATTACTATTTATTTTAATAATACATGGATCTGTATGATTTAAAATTATTAAAGAAAATAAGAGAGTAAAACATGATAAACATAAAGAAAGTTAAAATTCATAGGCTAAGGGACTTGGTGGTCCTGCTACTGACCACGCTAAGCAATTATTTTTGGAAGGAAAACTAAATTTAATAATTTATACACATACATAACTTCATATTTCCACAAGATGATTTATAATAAATAATACTTAGAATATACATTCAGTCACAATGCATTCTTCATCAGAAAAAAGTGACAAACATTTGGTTACACATCACTGCTCTACACAATGCAGTTTCAATCTATTTACAAGCATCTATTTAAGCTGAAGCTGTCATTGGTAAGCATTTGCAAATGATACTAAAAAGCATTTCAAACAAAACTAGGAAATGACATAAAATGAAATATTTTCTTTTTGCACGAAAATAATTATGCAAATTACTAGATTTGCACAACAGATGATATCTTTGGCAAACAAATACAGTTCATGAGTTGATCTTTGATTTTGATGCTGCTGCAACTGGTTGTATTGATTTCAAAGTTGTACTGACTGATAGTTCAATTCATTTATGCATATCTTTTTTTAAATACCTTTATACACCTTAAGTGATTAAGCTTTGGTTAAAATGTTTGCAAGTCAAAAAACATGAAATTTTAAGTCTTGGAAATGACTAAAAATTGCAGAAGATACTGCCGGTAGTCTGTAGGATTCAATGGATCAGTATTTGTATATTTTAATAAATAATGAGTATTTCTGAAATTATTAAATAAAGTTTATGTTAAAATGTTACTTAGAGTATTCCAAAAAAACTGGGCATAAAAAAACTATTTATCGATTTTTCTATAATATTCACTGTTTTCATTAACATAATGATATTAATAAATTAACATATCACACCTCTAAATTAATATGAAATTTATTCTATTCTACATGTATGAGCATGTACTTCAGATTCATTTATGAATGTATAAAGATTTTGGGTATTAGAAAAACTGAACTGAAAGAAACACTATACTTGAGGGAACAAACCATTTAAGTATTTTTTTAATCTTTACAAAAGAAGTTTTCGTGCAAACATTATCACACAGTAATAATTTGATCCTATTACATTTTACACCTATACAACTCACAATACACTAAAATAGTTTAATAAGTGCTTTATTTACAGTTAAAGAGCTATTAAAATTGAAAATTTTAAATCACTAAAAGATGAACTTAAAAACTGGTGCAATATTTCCTTAAAAAAAGGGGGGGGAAGAGAGAAACGAGGCAGGGTGGGAAGAGAAAATAAAAAAGTTGATTAAAAGAAAAAAATACTTAGAGCATAATAAATAATACTTCAGCATTATATTTAAAAAATACAAGAAAAATTCAAAAATCTGTCTCCTTAAATTTAGCAATATACAGACATTTGGAGGATGTATTTTAGTTTCCCTTACACTAAGTAACATTAGTATTATTAGCATTACACTAATGCCAAGCAGTATTCTTGTAACAGGTTACCTACTGGGCTGTATCTATAACAACATGATGTATTCTGTATTTGCCTTGGGTTATGAATATAAATTATGTGATACCTGATTTTAAGTCATCCAACGAATTTTGTTGATCCTGCTGTGGTTCCAACACACAGATGATAAAATCTATGGGGTCATCCTAAACAAATAATCGTATGAAATACGAAAGGAACAATACTCATGATGCTGCCCTGTCATCTTGCTGAACTGTGATGACAATTTGTCAACAATGGGCCCAAACTTCTGGCATTGCTGATGGACATCAGGCCATTATTTGTGTTAATGAAAAATACAGAGGCTAAGATAGGTCCTCTTCAGAGAAATATCGATGCATTCTTCTAATAATGTTATATAATATAATAATTTGTTATGTAATAAATTTTGCGGCAATGCTAAGTACATATTATTTCTTTACATTTATTTACTTATGTATAGCTGTTTTCCATACAGTTTAGCATGGTAATGTTATCAATTTCTTTTGTTCTAATAATGGTTCAATAGGCAGTAGGTCACCAGACTGGTGTTAGGTTACTGTCTGTGAGAATATTGAACACTGATTCTTTCTTACACTCAAATACAATAATACAACAAATCATAAAACAAAACTACCCACTGTTTCTCTAATTTACATGACAAAAAAAATAATAGTAAACTGTCTCTTAGCGACCCTCTCCTGTAGACGACCACTTATTATTAAAATGGCCAAGAGTATACACACATATTGGTATTGATAACTGCAGTATTCTGAGACAACTGCTCTCTAACCACACCAAGATTGCCAAATATGCAATATGGTGACATACTAAAATATCTTATTTTATTATCAAATTAAAATGTTTCATGCATTAAATAAATCGAAGAGTTCCACATCTGATTCTCACTGAGCTACAAAATTATTTTTCAGAAACAAAGGGAATTGCTGATTTAAAGTGATGTGTTCGTTTGATTATATATAATGAACACTTAGAGCATATGAGGGCTAACTCAATATCATGTAAGGTATGACATAGGCTCACTATGGATTATGAATAAGTTTCTTTAAATGATTATCATAAATCTAATGTGTTTAGGCTTACTTTTCACTTCCCATTTAAAGTAGTTAGCATAGTATCAGCATTAGGTGACAAAAGCAGTTCATCTTTGAATTTGATGCTGCTGCAACTGGTTGTATTGATTCATTTATGCATACCTTTTTTTAAATACCTTCATACACCTTAAGTGATTAAGCTTTGGTTAAAATGTTTGCAAGTCAAAACATGAAATTTCAAGTCTTGGAAGTGACTAAAAATTGCAGAAGATACTGCTGGTAGTCTGTAGGATTCAATGGATCAGTATTTGTATTTTAATAAATAATGAGTATTTCTGAAATTATTAAATAAAGTTAGCATGTAAGTATATTTTAAAATATTACTTAGAGTATTCTAGAAAACTGGGCATAAAAAAATTGCTATTTATTTATTCATTTTTCTCAATTATTCACTGTTTTCATCAACATAATGATATTATAATCAATACCCAACCTCTAATTAATATTTTTCCTTTAACCCTCTAAGCGGCAAGGCCGTAATTTACGCCCTTAGATATTTATTGTGATACCTGTAGAATGTTATATACCCTATTAATAGTCCATGAATAAGGCAATATAAAAAGAAAACAAATCCGGTATGAAATACAGTAGAGTTTACATTTAAATAAAAAATCATTTTGTTCTCATAGTAGTTTTGGGAAATTTGCGCTTTCTTAGCGAAAACCCTGGCCGCCCAGAGGGTTAACAAACTTCAATAACCTTGAACACGGTAAACCCACGATGCAAATCAATAACTACCATCAGTGACTGACAGCGTCTATAAGCTGGCTACCTCAAAATTATTCAGAATTCTAGCTGGTTATCTCAGAGAGGGTTCACTGAATTTTTTTTTCTTTCACATGACACATGCAAAGCATGTTTCATGTTTCTAATAAGGGCAAGATCAAATCTGTAAAATTACGAATTTTATGCCCATGCAGGAAAATTTGAAGAAATGGAAAGGTAGAACTAGTCACATACAAATTTTATAAGATTCAAAACGTAATATTTTTCCAATGCATACCTTGCAATGAAAATATTAAAACATGCACTAGTATTAGCTATTGAGAAATGCTTATAAATCACTTCAGCAATATTATATAAACCTTATATCACACAAACATTTTATTTACAGAAAAATATGCAAATACTGTCACATCTTTTACAGTTTCCCTGGATTGATAAAATGCCATATATTAGCAGACTAGGTGCACAAAAAGCATAACATATACATATATAAACACCATCCAGATATTCACATTTGATAGCATTCAAATGCCAAAAAAAATTATAATATTTATTTGAAAATTGTGGTAAATTTATCTTAGCCTAACTTACAATGCTATAATTATCATTTCACATATTTATAAATTCTTCATGTTCTAATTATTTTTTAATATTCATAAATATAAAAAAAATATATTGTTGAAAAATATGAGAATGTGCAGATGGAATTTTGACCTACCATTTCTCAAGAAACTATTTTAGCTCACCAATAAGAAAAATTTAATCTAAATAAAAAAAAAAAAAAAAAAAAAAAAAATTCATATCTCCATGCACAACTTTAATTCTTTTTTTCTTTGGTTATTTATCACCAAATATTTTTATATATAACTATAGACTGCATAAAATATACCGCACATACATAGTGAGACATGAAATGTCCGCACATACATAGTGAGACATGAAATGTCAAAGTGAAATGTGGTTATAAATTTTTTAAAATATTGCAGTAAAATAGGTATTAAAATACTAAAAAGAATGAACATAGCTAGCTAGGATCAGTTTAATATGTCCATGTTCTTGATATGCAATGTCTCTGCTGTACACCTTAAAAAATTTATGACAGTTTTATACAATAATTCCTTTAATCTTCAAAAAGAAGATAAAATAATAATTCATGCACAAATAATGAAATTATAAATAGCAATCTACATGTAAATAAAAAAGACATTTTTATTATTTTTTTAATCTCCACAAGAACAGTGTAACATGGTATATTAATTTATTTAATACATTTTAAAATGTAAAATACCAGTTTTTTGGTCTTATCATATACAGATTAAACATCAAGAATATTTAATATAATTTACCATGAATTAAAACATTACAACAATCATTTTAATATTTTTGAACAAATAATTTTTTTAAATCCAAAAATGTTTTCTTAATTTCTCTATGTTTTCCAGCTTTCAGTTAGTTCTATACTAGTTTTCCAAAAAATGATAGGTCTTAATTCCTAAGTATATTACTTGAATCAGGTTATTTGATTTATTAATTATATTTTAGAACAACATATAGGTATTAGTTTTTTATAAATTAAGTGCAGTTCACTGCCCTTCAGTGCTTTGCCATTACAAACAAATATGTGATTAAAGTTTAAGAATTCATGTGCTGTACAGCTAATTCATTTTACAAGCACTGCTCCTGCACATGCAAGGCATTTAATGTTGAATTTTACTTTCAAATTGCACATTCTACATATGTAAATTAGTACAAACATTTTCTTTAGAAATTACTTCTTCCCCCAAACATTTTAAAAATTAGTTTTACCTTAATATCAAATAGTTAAGAAAAGAAATAACTTACTCATTTTTTTTTTTTTTAAAGCTATTCACATCTTTGCTGCATAGCAACAGCTAGTGCACATATTTAGTTTTACATTTAAAATCCTGAACATTCTTCATGTGAAAACATGTTTTGGTGGTATACAAATATGGTAGACGTGTTCAGCATGGCATCACATCAAAAATACTTTTACCTTGAAACTACTTCACACTTACACATGTATAAAGTTGTCATTAGATAAAATTTGCAATTATACAGTAGAGTGAAAACATTCAATCTTATCATTTCAAGTATTCCTCACAAACTGGCCTTGTGTGAAATGTAAAACAACACTGCAACTGGTGCATTATACTAATAGAAATGGCTGTACATTTTGAGATAATTCAATCACACGTAAAACAACCGAACCCTAGATGTGCTGACTAGAAGATCCTGGTCATAAAATTTAGTTTCAATAATCACATTTCCACTGAAAAGAAAGTAAAGATTATGATTTACGTACTATTCAAGAACAAAAAATTTTACAATATTTCATCACAAAATTAAAAATAACTGTATTACTTATGTTAATTAACACAACTATTTTGGTTCAATTTAATTCTTTTTACACATAAAAAGGTAATAGTTATTTATCAGGTGCAAAGTTGTGGTTTTTGCAACTTTTTTTTAAAAGACTCTTACATTATTGATGTTTATCAGAAGTTGGTAAACATTACCAGAATATAAAAAGAAAACATATTTTAGCAATTTAAATACTAAATTTTAGTTATTAAATAAGAATTATGTGATGCATTAAAAATGAAAGATTCAAAATTTGTCTCCCATATTTCTGTCTTTTTTTGCATTTCTCTTCTCAATAAGTGCACAGTGATATGTTTTTGCTTACAGAAAATATCAGAGACTCAACATCGCAAAAACCTCAGCAACACCAGCTATCTCACAAATGCATATCCTATTTGTTCCCATCTGAGAATTCTGTAATTCTGCAGAATTTTAGAGCAGTTTCTTTCTTCTATTGCTGGCAAATTCCACAGGTGCATATTTGAAAAAATATCATGATTTGTTTACAAAAATTGTTGGAACATAACATAAGGAATGGTACAAAAATGGCATTGTTACTTGACTGCAGGACTGTTATGAGGATGGTTGCCAGAGTATGGGTACATTCTGAAAATCTAGTGACTTCAACTAGAATCAGAATCATCAATTTAGCGAAATAGTATGTACCTCGAAAGGGTATTGCCTACTAAATCAAGTTGCCCAGTGGGCTCTCACGATGTTTTAATGAATCTAATGGGTGCATGAGCACCGTAGCCCTGAGGGTAAGAAAGGTGAAGACTGAAGTCTACAATTAATACCTGGAAGAAAGTTGATTCATCGAGGCCAGTCACATGTGAGGTCAACATCCCAAGAAGAAGCACTCCAAGAACAAGTCTGACCCCAAGATCTGCTGCTTAAACAGGTGGACCTGTGAAGGACAGAAAATGCATCCTTAATACTTAATTTTCATCACTTTGGGGGCGGGGACATCGCCTTAGTTTTCGCCCTCTGCAATTTTCATGAAGTGCATTGCTGTTTTAAAAGTTAAAGTGCTTGTTTGTCTTGCTTTCCTCATTGCATGACGATGTTACTGAGGAAGTTTTGGATTTTTTCATCTTGGAGCCAATTCATGGCTTCGTTTGCTTCCTTTGGGATATTAAATCTTTTTCCTTTCACTTTATCACTAAACATTGGTCTAGAAGCTTTTTTACTTTTGCTCTTGCTTCATTTTCTTCCATGCTCTTAGTCTCAGAAATTCCTTTTGGTGGGTTCCTTTTTCTTTTCTTTCAAATTTTTCTTTATATGCCTTACATCCACAATAGCTGCTTATGTGGCCCTCTCTGCAAAAAATGCAGGTTGGCTTATCTTCAGGTCTTTTAGGGCATAACTTTGTGCTGTGGCTGTCTTTGCATTTGCAACATCTTTCTTGACATTTGCATAAATACTGTGTGTGGCCATATTCCTGGCATCCATAACACTGCATCGGACACTTTCTGGGGGCAAACTTCTCAATTTGTATGTTGATAATGAACATATTATTCAGGTTAAATATGGCACTTCCAACAGTATTTCTTTTCAATTCCAGGAAGAATATTGGGAGTTTTTTCCATAATTTCTCTTCTGGTTCTGTTGAATTGCTGGACTTTTATGATAGGGAATTTACCTTGTTGTAAATTGTTAAAAATCACTTCTTCTGATACTGTTTCTGGTATATTCATTAGGATTGCCTTCACATTTTTCTCACTTGCCAGTTGATACGCGTGAAACGGTATACCTCTTTCGTTTAACGTATTCATCATTTTCCTGTAATCGTCTGCATTTCTGACGTACACATAGATATTATTAGTCTTCATATTCTTCTGTACAGTGATTTTGAAAAATTTTGCCCACTTTCAGCCAGTCCATTGAGTTTTATTGGAATACAATGGTTGGAGATGTTTCCTTCAGGATAGCTCTGCCTTCTTAATTTGCATCTTTATTTTCCAGTTGCTTGAAATGATTTTCGTCCATAACATTCATGATTTCCTCTTTCTCTGGCGATTTTTCAGTTTTCCTTGGGATTTTCCATTCGTTGTCTGATTTTTCATTGTCCTTTTCAGTCACCATCTAGTTTTTCGGCCTCTTCCTGTCGATTTTCATTTTGCTTTAATTTCTTAGGTTGGTGCATGTCCTGCGTATCCATCTTTTCCAGATAAGGAATTTTTCTCAATTTGTTCACAAGATTTTCCGCTTTATTTTTCTCTAAACATCTCAGTAGGTCATCTAACTTTCGCTTTCGGGTGAATCCTGAGGGGATCTCTTTTCTTCTGTGCCAGTTTTATCTTTCTTCTTTCTTCCTTTTTTAATCCTCTTTCTTCCATTTAGCTGGTTGAGATTTCATTGATCTTATTGAGCATATTTCGAGTTCAAATCTTCATTATCCATAACATCATCCACTGCCCTAAAGAAGGACATTTTTGTGTACCCGTGGATACCTAAAGCAGCACGAATAACTTTTACAATTAAGAGTCAAAAATATAACTGCGCTACTTTTGCACTAACCGCTCTGTCAACTGCCTATGTGATTGGATGAGTCTATGACTTCAACTATAGTGGCTGCGACAACACATGTAAGTACCATAACTGCAAGTTACATTAAGAAAATTTAACTGCCAAGAACTCATGAATTTTACTTGATTTTCCTAGCCCCCCACAAAATACCCTCCTAATTATGTAAAAAATGGTGCTTTCATACATTTGATGAACATTTCATCCATTGTTGGGCAGAAGAACTAACATCTCTTAAGTGATGGCATAAACAGCTCAGTATCTGACAAAATACCGTGATTAATTGGAACAACTTTATCAGAGAGGTTTGTTTGCTAGATTTATTTCAACAATCCAATGGCCGAATAGGTGGCTCAGGAAAAATTGTTGCATGGGTTATATGCTAAGAAGAAAGTGGCGAGTGCTTTCTTGTTCAGGTTCCAAATGGAAGCACACCAATATCAATGATTGTAGACCACATCGTGAAAGGGACAGCATTGTATTTAAAAAATGTGCATAACATTATTTAAATGCAACAGACAAAACATTATTCTATGCAACACCCGCTTGAAAAAGGATTAAACCTCTGAGTGTTACGGTTTAGCCCTAAAATTTCAAAGTTCCTCAAAATTTCATGAATAACTAGTATTTCCTTTATTATTATTAAAATATGACTCTCTGACTTTGTACCTTAATTCATTTCCTTCCAATACACATCCAACCAAAAATCAGATACATTAAAAGTTGGTAGAAATTTTCATGTGTAATGAATATCAAAGCCAATGTTCTGTACAGAATTTTCCATCCATCTCTTTGAGATAGTTAACTGCAAATCAAACATTTTATCTTTTTGATCCAACAATGTGTCCTCATACCTAAACATGGAAAGATTGTGAAGCTCTGTTAAATGGCGACGTGAAAAGCAAAGGGCTACAGCTCGACATCATCTGGAGTCGTATTTTTCCAAATTCATGTGGCAGAAATCCTTTGGTAAAGATAAGCCTCTTGATGCCACATTAAAATCAATCACGGAGATACTGCAGCCACACATTATATGCAAGTAGGGGATAATCTTAGCAGCGTTTTGATAACGGGGCGATAATCTTGGTAGTGTTTTGATAATGGGGACTGTGAAAATCAAGTAGTACTGTTTTTTCTTTCATGGCAAAGAACTTTCTTATAGCACATAAGGCTTTTATTGAATGACAATGGCTCACAATTCCTTTCCTACACTTGAATTTTTAAAATTTATTTAAATAGACCTAAGTATTGAAATATGACTCCAATTTTTTTCTAATATATTATTTTTTCTCTATTGTAAGCCTTGCTCGTTCAATGATAAAATAAATATCATCAATTATTCCTTACAATAAAATAATTTATTCAAAATGCATTAGGTGATAACTTGCATAATAATTCAGACACTTGAAACTTTACTTGGATATTTTCTTAGGTGAAGTTCCTTGTCTAACTTTTTGGTTTAAATGGACATGCATAATAAGAACTTGTTTTACATGAAATGCATAATAAGAATTATCATCTGGATCTGGAAATGATTACTTGTTTAGCAAAATATACCAACAGTTTAGCTTAGCAAAATATATGTATCATCCGAAGTGAAAATGGCAGGATGCAACAAACTAAAGAAAATTTCAGTTAGAAATTTAATCATTCATCATCTTAAAAGTATTTGAAATATCCAAAAAAATCCTTGATGTAAAGTGTTCAGTTACCTTTGATGTTGTAAAACAATGAAAATTGCAAAAAACTGCTGAATATGCATTAAGTCAGGAAAAATTTCAAGCTAATACAAAGAAGGTGGACATTTATCCTATGAAACATCAAATAAAACTTAAATATTGATGCTGTGAAATGTACAATGTATTTAAAAGAACAGTTTGGAATAAAAATTAAATCTTAAACTGTTAAAAGAATCATTACAGTACATGGATAGAATTGGGCCATCAGCAAAACAGAAATCCTTTGTTAACATGAAAACAAGGAAAACATAACTAGCATTCACAAAATTTATGATTAGCAAAGATTTATAACATTAAAATAATGTCATATTTGCAAACGAGTCCCAGTTTAACATATTTAGATTAAACAGATGAATTTCTGTGCTGCGAAAGCTGAATAAAAAAATTGAATACAGTATCGTGTACTGTTAAGAACGAGGGTGGAGGCATAATGGTTTGGGGATGTTTCTATGCCATGGGATGAGAAATATAGTCTTCACAAAAAGTAATATAGATGAGTATAAATATGTAAATATTTTTAATGAAAACCTGAAAGCATGTGCAAGAAAACCTGGAGCGCAAAATAAATTCAAGCTCTATCAGGACAATGATCGTAAACATTTACACCTATATGTTTATTTGTGATTATTAGATAACTACCCTGAAGTTGTCAAAGCTACCTCATATTCGATGGACTTAAATCACATCAAACATACTTGTATATCAAGTGAGTTGGAGAAAGAAAAGGAAAACATGACATTTTTTCAAAAGCATTTACTAAATAGAAGCAATCTTTCATTGAAACAGTACAAAACAGAACATTTTTACATGAAAAAAATTAGTTGAATCCATGCAAAATTGCAATTTAGCTGAACAGTATCCAGAAATATTGAGTGGCGTGTTGAATACTTCTATGTTTTTATTAAATATACGCTGTTCTTTCAAAGTATCTGATTATTTATGTACAAGTAAGTTCATTTTCAGAACTTCCTGAATTTTTTTTTCCTTTTTCTAATAAATATGACTTGAATAATTTCTTCCAGAACAAGCAGGTTTTAAGTGAAGAAAACTGAAGTTCCTTTTTAATGTTCAGTAAACAAAATTTGCAAATAAAATTGGAAACACAAGTACAATGTGAGCCATTGCATACACTGATAATTTTGGACAATACCTTTTGCCCTTTTTCTAGTAGTAGCATACTTCCATGCTCATTAAAGTTCTTATCTTTGTATACAAAAAAACTGATCCAAGTGATGTTCAACAACCTCATTAGAAAATCTAGAATATTAAAAATTGCATTTTTCATTATGGAATGACTGAGGCTGATGCAAAACATATTATTATCCGTTCTAACCCGGAAAATACCTGGCTAATTTATTTGCCTGTATTGAGAAGAGCAAAGGATCTCAAGTGATTACTTAAGACTACTATAAACAATACTTACTACAAGAGGGCATATTAAAATTATAAAATATATACCAATAAATGAAAACAAACATTATACAACTTAATGTTATTATTTTACATGCAGACTTGATTGAAATATTTAAATGGGTTAATATTACACATTGTGATGTTAATTGGCATACATGTAAAAATGTTTTGATTAATTATACGTGACTTTCAGCATACAACTTAAAGTTGCTGAGTTACCAAACTTGTACCAAGCTTTACTCTATCACGGTGAAATATTACACTTTTTGTTGTTCAGTTCTGGTCTTTCATTATTGATGGTTACACAGTCTGTGCGACTGATGGGAGTACACTTTTGAATCAAATGCAGAACTGTTTGATAAAATCTTTGAAGGTGTGTGTGTGTGGGGGGGGGATAACCAGGGCTGTGGAGTCAGTAGGGAAAATGACCAACTCTGACTCCTGGTATTCGATTCCCTCATATATATATGTACACATATACGCTTGGGTTACAGATTATTTTTTAATATAAAAGAAACAATAGATGCTACAGAAAAAACAATTGATGGCATAGCAAATTATTTATATTAATTAGCATTTACTATGAAATAGAATAGCTGGCATCAGTTATTTCTAAGAAACAGTATAGCTTCGGCAAGATCTTCTTTGTTGGAGGTCCATAGATCCGATTTCATAAACTTCAGAGCTGAAAAGAGTCTTTCCACACTAACTTGAGTAGGAGGAAGAGCTGTTATTGTTAGGGCTACCTCTTTTAACTTTTCAGGATAGATTTTTTATAAGTTCTAAAAGAGGCGTCTTGCAAGCACAACCATATTTCTCTATTTCTTCAAAGGCTGTGTACAACTTTTGTTTGTATTTTTTCATTTTTATATCTAAAGGCTCTAGTGCTTTATTTTCATTCACTTTGCCTTAGCCTTTTCAATATTATCCAAAAATATTTCTTAAAATCCAATTCATCACTAGAAAAGAATGATAGAGACTCAATTGCAATGTCTGCAGTTTGACTGTCCTGATTCGAATTCTCCAATTGCTCTAAGAATAATTTCATTCTTAATGAAAGTTCATACATGACTTTCTTTGCCTTTTTAATTTGTTCATCATCCAAGAAAATTCGATGTTTCGGATCTACATATATTGAACCCAGCAAGATCTCAGCGTCTAGCAAACTAATTTCTTTCCTTTTTTTTATTTTTTTATTGAAGAAATGATTCTTTCTGCAATAAACCCTCCATTTCAGAAAGAACAAACATCCAATTCTTTCATTCTCGCCTCCTGTCAATTCTTCAGAGTGCAGCTTTTTTGTGGCTATATACAGTGTAGAAAGATGAGTTCCCAATTCTGAAAAATCATTCCACAGTCTTTCTGTTACTGAAATATTATTAGGATTATCTACTTCTAAAAACGTTCTTAATTCTAAAAACTCTTTATCATCAAATATGTACTTCCTTATCGTGTTGCTTGATCAATAAATGCTCCTTTTCCTGTTCGCTTCCTAAGAATGGCATCAATTTTAGGAGTTCTTGCTGCTATTGCTGCTTACCTAAATTTACCAGTGAGATTTGTAACTAAATGAATCAGTTTAATTGCTAATAGCAAATATCACATCCATCCATACATTTATCTATTAATAGAAAATAACTATTTATTAATGTATACAGTCCGTAAATAAAAATAATAACTCAGCTTGTCATTAATTTATTTTAAGTCATTTTAATTTCATTTCAAATTCAAACTGTCCAACAAAAACTGAAGTCGGAGTCTACCTGTTTTTTAGCGACTCCAGCTCCGACTCCTTTTACTCCAAAATCTGCCAGACTCTGACTCCACAGCCCCGAGCAGAACCTCTAAGTTCACCCCCAAACACAGAACATCAGTATCAGCTTTCAGAACTTATGGAAGATCCCATCAAACATTTTTTACTATTAAAGAAAAGACGGCAAACTATGCAATTTTTTGCCAAAAATGGAAGTCTTCTTCAAACACACTGAGTTTGGTGTAACCTTGATTACACATGTTAGTTATTATTCTGGAGTAAAGAATCCTTTACTCAAGCTCAAAAAATGATCCATTAATTAAATTTTATTGATTTCATGCTGAAAAGAACTCAAAGATTTCATGCTGAAGAACCAAAAATTAAGAATGAATCCATATATTATTCATATACTTATTTTTAAACAACTTTTTAAAATGAAAAATAGGCGCTTTTTTCCTGCTTTCTTGAAAATCATACAATTTTTAAGGGGTTAAGAACATTCAGAACCCGTTTTGAATTGAAATTAAGCCGTTTCACATGATTATAAATGGCTGAATTCAACAAATTTAATCTCTTTAGCTTCAATCAGTATCTTTATTTTGGGATACCTCCATCAAATGACATGTTTCGTTTTAAACTTTCTTGTAATAATCCTAAACTGTTCAACGATTTTGGAATATTTGTGACTTTAAAACCAGAAGTGGTATTTTATTTAGTGGTATTGTCAATTAAAACTCGTTACACAATATTTATTAAGTTTTTCCCCCTGGTCATTTCAACTAATGGTCTCAAGTTAATTTTTAATACTAATCTAAAGTATAATTTAATGATTAAAAATTTAGTCCGGATTAATGGCATGCACAGAATTTTATTTTTGGACATAGGAGGGAGAGAAGTAGAATGCAATATTAAGATCCATACTTGCAGATTTCATAGGTTTACTATATTTTGTTATGTTCGCACTTTTAAATTGTCAAATTACACTTGTTAAAGTTGTGAAAGGTTAACAAAGAAATTATTCAAACCATAAAACAGGTTTTGACAAAAATACTTAAATTCCCTGACTTTTCCCTGAATATTTTGGTCAATTTTTGAATTCCCTGACTTTTCCCGGTTCTCCCAGTTTTCCAGGTAGCGTGGCAACCCTGTATATAGGACTGTAAGAAGAAACTGCTTAAAATAAAATAAACCTCATCCCCCCCTCGAAAAAAAAGCATTATTTTACAAATGATTTATTTATTTTTTCATACTGTCCTGATGACCATTAATTTACAGCTATGCTACATAACAGATAATTTGAAATCGATTAAAAGATAAAAACAAATGTAGATTTGTTGATACTACAGAAATAACATTGAAGAAAATTGAATTATGGTTCTTGTTTCAAAGTATTTATTTCAGATATATTACAAATTAATTTTCTTTAATTAAAATCAATTAAATTATATGCTATTCAATTTCCCAGTAAAATACAATTTTTAATGGAAAGAAATAATGGGGCAAATATTACGTTGATGTGAATTTAGAAAAACTGGCTTTGATACATGGCAAATTATAGCTAATAAAATACCCAAAGTTTCTATTACTAATATTCAATTTATTGGAACAACCAGTTTTCTATTACAAATGATCAGCTGGAAGCAATACTTTACATAAAGCTTATTGCCATTTAAAATGTGGAATTGGGAGGAGGTCATGTGCTGCCACATCAGATTTTTATTAACATATAAAATTAAAATTCTGTGAATTCTGAAGTCTTGTATTTTAAAATAAATGAGGATTACTTTACTTTTATGTTTTATACTCAAACAGCACAGAAAACTAAGTAAGCGAGTACATACGAAAAAAATTGTAATAACCTTTTATATTTGGAATAACATTCCAACAATTATACTAAAAATCTGCAATATATATGATGATAAAACATAAAAATAGTAGTCCATGATGAAATAAAAATTAATAAGCGTAGTAAAATGACACCATGGAGGGAAGGAGAAAGATTTTTGACATGCTACTATTTAAATTGAGTTTCACAAAGTTTATTTGAATTGCTAATGACATAAATGTAGCAAAAGAAGGAAAATAATATTCAGTGTTTTAATAATTTAAAAGCCATTCCAATATCTCTCATTAAAATAAAAACAGAAACTTTTCTTAGGCTTTTCTAAAATTCAGGATACTATAAGGGTGGAATAGTTAGGTAACATTATTCTTCCACTAACATGAACAATTTATAATTTCAATAAAAATGAGCAAACTATAAATAAATGAAAATTCATACTGCAACTTACTTTAATACATTAGCCGGCATCATCTGCGATTCTGGAGCAGCTTCAATCAGTGACTGCCAAGTATTCGTTGAGTTAGGTATCACAAAACCAAAGTCAAAAAACCATTCTGAAAACAAGGTAAATTTTAAATTAAAAAAAAAAAAAGTTACTATCTATCATATTTTTAATTCATATATATTAACCTATAGTATAAAACATTTTACTACCGCTTATTTTCACATAAAGCTAGGTCATTAAATATATTGCACCCTAAATAAATATAATAATAAAAAAATAATATATGTGATACTACACAAATCCTATTTTCTAAACTTCAATTTGATCTTTGAACATAATATATAATATACATATATATAAAGATGGTTACCCTCCCAGTAATGCTATCACTTTAGAAATGCATTAAAAAGGCCAAATCACATTAAAGGTACAAATTAGGCAATTTGTTTTCTTCATCTAATGAGTAATTAAATAATGATATCAATATAAATAAGTCCGAAGATTGAAAATTGATCTGATAATTTTTCTTCTCACATTTTCAGCTGCTTCATTGTTTAAATGCTGATTTCCCCCGCCACCCAAAGAAAATATCAATATGGAAACGGAATAATTGCATATTTCTATATTGCTATTGATCTACAGTCAGATTTGATGCCAATATTTACATTTGACACAAAATGATGGCTTGTTAACAGAGCTTAGTGCTTTTCAAGTAATGAAATCACCTAACTTTTTAAACATACCTAAAAGTAATTTTGCCAAACATGATAGCACGATTTGAATTATTATTCTTATTATTGAAATAAACTGTTAAATCATATATGCAACAGAATGGGTTCACATGCTCCCTAATGATTAGCTCATACATGGAACTCCAGACCATTCAGGGATCTGAAGAGATGACGGTTGATCTTTAGATTATGGTAACTTGGCGATTTTTTGGCGAAAATTTGGCGACTAACTCTTCTACAGCAACTCTCAATTTTTTTTTCCCGCCGCCATTTTGTCTTCACGAAGTAAAGACACATGTTTTTTTTTTTTATCTACTGAAATTCTTAACAATTACTAGCCGAATTACACTTATGCTAGAAATTTTATCTAACAAAACTGTTTAATTAATGACAAATATCACTGCCAAAAATTGGAAAAAAGTGAACAATACCATACTCCTTACCGTTTTTTCAAAATAACACATACAACATAAACCATGTACACGCGACTAATTTTTACTTCAAAAACATCCCCGAATTACACAAAAATGCATTTGGCACTTCTTCACTATATCCATGTACACTGCTTTTTTCTCATAAATTAGAAAATTTCACGAAAATACATGAACATTTTCTAATCTTTAACCCTTAAAAAGAACATACATGAAATTACCTAAACGAAAAAGTATTACCCTTTCCAAATGAACATTTCCAACGATAAATAAAATAAAATATCCAAAAACTTTACCTCTAAAATCATCTATTATATTATAAACGTCACCAACGAATTCTACCGCAGATTACAATACTTAGTGTCAAATATTTAATTTTTCCATGCACGTTTACTTCAACTAAACGTATACCAAATTCCTACAAACATAAAATCACAAAATAACTCATTAATTAAAATATAATTAAATTCAAACACTACTTAAAATATAAAAGCACATACAAAAATTAAAATTAGCTTACAACTCCTAATTACTTTAAACTAAATCATTGCTAATAACAATTTTCCCAAAATACCAAATTACTTTACTTCCACCTTACTTTAGAACCAGCAAAAAAATATCCTCAAATAATTAAAAATCTAACTTCCTAATCTTCTTCAGAATCTTGCTTACATGGTGGATACACTTTTATTATGTATTCAATAAAATTATTGAATGATTTTTCTGCAATTTTCTCCAAACTTCCTAGAAATAAAAGTTCTCTTTCTTGCCTCGGAATGCCGCATTATCCATCCACTTGCCCTCTATTGTATTGGTATGCACCTGTTTCCGGTTAAATAATTTTGGGTTCACGCAAATGTTTAAAACCATCTTCCAAACATTCATACGCTTTTCCTTTAGACAGCGCCATACAATCCCAAATTATCAACCTACTTCACAAACACCAATGAAGTTTAATACAAATAATATAAGCACAGATATTTTTCCAAATTCCCCCCTTTTCGATAAGAACCGTAATCGTCCATTAATACACATGACATATCCCATGATCTCTCATTTCCCTCACAAAAAAATAATGTGTAATCGGAACTGAGTACTGCTCACATTATTACCAAAGTCACCTTTCTCGCCTCCAAAATGTCGCCAAACTACCAGTTACCATATTCTAAAGATCAGCTGAGATGACAATCTAAAAGGGCAAGATTTGGTGAATATAGGGATGACACAAAACATTCCCCCATACTCAATAAGCCTTTAACATTTATCACTCTGTGGTGCAGATCACTAACATACTGGAAGACACAATGATTGGTTACTTTTGGGCACTTTGCTTCAAATTCTGCTTTTAAAACTGCCATTTGGGAACAGTATTTTTCACGATTTCTTGTCTAATTTTGTGGCAACAATTCAAAGTATATAATTCTTTTGTAGTCCAGCCAAGTACAAAGTACTACTTTTTGGGGATGCAGCTTCCCCTCTCAGTGTTACTAAAGAAGGTCCATTTGGCTTACCTCATGATTTTTTTATGTAACATTATTGTATAATATCCACTTCTTATATCCAATAATGAACCATTTCAAAAAAGGAGATTCTTTCTCTCTTCGAGCAAAGAATCCCATGCCAAAACTCAAGCAAGTATATTCTGCTCTGTTAAAGTATGGGGTATCAATACATTGTAGTACATTGTACAAAAATATTTATCTCCTATATTCATCTTCATGCACAATATTTTTCAACTGATGATGTGCTGTACTGTTTGGAATATTTAGTTTGTCTGATAGTTCCTGAACTATATAACATGAATTTTCAATGACAGCTTCTTTTAATAGGTCCTTGTTTACAGAGGATAGTTAACCAGAGTGGGCATCATCTTTCAAGCTGAAATTTCTGCTCATAAGCATTTTATCGAAACCCAAACCACTTTTCAACTGTGTTATCAGAAACATCATTTTGCTCATATTTAGCACAAATTTTGTGAGCAATATGACTGGCAGTTTTTTTCTGTTTTAATATAAAAGAGCATAATACAACTAAAATGAACTATTGGGTTTTACATTCTTGGCACTCCACTATAAAAAAAAAAAAAAAAAAAAAAAAAAATATGCCACAAGAACAATGCAATGTGAGCCAAAAAAGACTGTATTTAAATAGCTGCCTCACTTGAGCAACAGTGAAATAATTAAACAAAAGTGCGATGCAATCTGAAAACATGACAGAACTCTCTGTATGACCCAATAGAAGTTAAAAGGTGCTCAAAAATTTCTTATTATTTGAAGAAGGAGAGAAGAAATTAAGATACATGTTATGCAGCCAGAATTAACATAGAAAGCAAACACAGTGTTTGTTTTTCATGTATAGATGATTAGAACAAACAAATTCTACACAGATCCATGCTTTCTGTATGTCAAAATATTACTCATAAGTTCTGAATTCTAATTATTAGTAAATTATTCAAGATGCCTCCTTCAGGTCATAATTATGTATGTAATAAGATTTTTTTTTAATTATTTTTTTTACTTCAAATATGTTTTTTTCCAGGATATATTCAAGTGAACACTGATACTTATAAGTAGTACACATGGTCTACTAAAAAGAAGTTCATTCAGGCCCTTCAATAACATCTCTCATTGAAATTTTCATTCAAATTCATTTCTTTACAATTTTCAATGAAATCAATTATCCATAACCTACATCCAAATATGAGATAGTGTCAAAAAATATTAAAATCTTATAAATCATATTTTTGTTTAAAATAATGAATTCTCATATTTACATAAGTTTTGGGTATATTATGTAATATCGGTCTTTGCGAGATGACAGACTTAATATTGGCAGCAAATTAGTTAAGAAAACGTAAAAGAAAATTCCTTGGAACACATTCTTATTCAATTTGTAACCAAACTGAGATTTATTTTCAGCTGCTGAGAAGAAAAATTAAGCACAGAATTCTGGAATTTTGAAGTTTTATTGATAGATATAAAAATCTGTAGAGAGCAAACCTGACATAATGTGACAAATATGGCTAGCAAATACCGGGGACTGCAAGCAAGAAAAAACATCATGTGAATTGCAACCTACATATTTTGACTGGCAAATACAGAGGATTGCAAGCAAGAATGAAACATCATTTGAATAGCAAAG